CAGGCGCCGGGAAGGAACAAATACCAGCCAGAAAGCAAAAAGCGCCGGGCTGGGGTGGGGGCGGCTCCAGATTCCAACTCCTTTCCGGGGGTTGTGGGAGAGGCCGGGGGTAGTGGGTGCTGGCTAAGTTCCGGCTCCTGGACTCACCCTGGGACCCAGTGCAGTTTGTGTGACGGACTCTTCCACCGGCCTAGAGGTCGTGGTACACTGTGATACCCGCAGCTCTCCAAATGCTATTTGGTGCAAGACTTGCTAGGTAAATAGGGTTCAAACGGATAAACAAAGCCACAGGCAGAAGGTGCCTTGAGCATGCAGCGTCCTTTGGGAGGTAGGCATTCCTCTAATCATCAGGCAAGTACACACAGACAGAGGTGCAGACTTCATCACAGGCTCCGGGGGAGTCTGGACGGATGGACGAGGCACTCAGGGGGACCAGGGTTAGTGTGAGGAGGTGGGCTTCCTGGAGGAGGTGAGACTTAAGGATATGTGTTAGGCGGAGGACATGGAGGAGGGAGGCTTGGCTCGCGGAGGGGGAAGGACAGGAGAGAGAAGGCCCCTGTGGTTGCAGAATGGAGGTAGGAAGATGTGGGGGTGACGAGTTGACCAGCTCCTGTAGGGTGAGGAAGGAAGGGGTGGACTTGGAGGGAAAGGGTGAGAGGTGCAGGAGGCCACTGGGTGCATCCCTGCTCATCAAAAGCAATGGTTTAGCCTGGTGTGGTGGCTCATGCCTGTATTCCCAGCAGTTTGAGAGGCCAAGGCAGGAGGATCACCTGAGGTCAAGAGTTCAAGACCAGCCCGTCTAACATGTAGAAACCCTGTCTCTACTAAAAATACAAAATTAGCTGGGCATGATGGTGCATGCCTGTAGTCCCAGTTACTTGGGAGACTGAGGGAGGAGAATCTGTTGACCCCAGGAGGAGAGGTGGAGGTTGAGGTGAGGTTAGATGGCACCATTGCACTACAGCCTGGGTGACAAGATCGAAAGTCCATTTAAAAAAAAAAAATACATTTTTGGGGGGATGGTACTGAGCAGAAAACAGCCTGTGAAATCACTCATATGCTGTTTTCTGAGGTCCTGGTGGAAGACCTTGCTTTGGGGAGTGTATCAGTAGGCAACCTTCAGCCTGCCCCTGCCCGGTTTCCCCAGGACCCTAGCTCAGGCTTTGCCCTCGGTGTCCTGAGGAAGCCCGGGTAAGCTACCTTGATCAGAGAAGGAAGTATCTCCGAGCAGCTTAGCAATGCTTCTCCCGTTGGCTCTTCTGCTTTCCACCACCTTTCGGCCACCCTGCCCTGACTCTGCTCACAGCCTGAGGGGAAAAACGGAAGAGAGGCGCGGGGCTTAAAGACACCAAAGACCCCCCCCCCCACCTCAGGCCGGGGACAGCCTCTTCCTCCTGCTAGCTGAACCCTCTAAAGACAAGACATGGAGAATATATCTCAGCCAACATTTTACACTCTTAGTATGGGAAGAGCTTCCACATGTTCATAAGGAAAGACAAGTGACTTATGAGGACAAGGACAAGGGATTATAACGGAAATACAGAAATGATCAGTGAAACTGTGGAACGGCACAGAGTGGAATGGACTGGCTGAAAGGGGTGTAGAGCAGACCATTCGCTGAGGATAGGAAGTTGCACACAGGTGTCTACAGTATGATGGTATTTTTGTCCAGAAAGAGGGCCTGCGGCAGTAGTTGTGCATGTAGCTGTGTTCCTTCAGCACGGGATGGGGCCCGGGGCTCAGTCCCAAGCCCTTCAGTTTGGTCTCTTCTGGGGGTGGGTGTGAGGAGACAGGGAAGAGAGACTCTCCTACTCTTTTTTTTTTTTTTTTTTTTTTTTTTTTGTGACGGAGTTTCGCTCTTGCTACCCAGGCTGGAGTGCAATGGCGCGATCCTGGCTCACCGCAACCTCCGCCTCCTGGGTTCAGGCAATTCTCCTGCCTCAGCCTCCTGAGTAGCTGGGATTACAGGCACACGCCACCATGCCCAGCTAATTTTTTGTATTTTTAGTAGAGATGGGGTTTCACCATGTTGACCAGGATGGTCTCGATCTCTTGACCTCGTGATCCACCCGCCTCGGCCTCCCAAAGTGCTGGGATTACAGGCTTGAGCCACCGCGCCCGGCTTTTTTTTTTTTTTTTTTTTTTTTTTTTAAATGAGGCAGTGTCTCACTGTGACCCAGGCTGGAATTCAGTGACATGATCACAGCTTGCTGCAACCTCTGCCTCTCGGCTTCAAGTGATTTTTGTGCCTCATTCTCCCGAGTAGCTGGGAATACAGGTGTGTGTCACCACGCCCAGCTAATTGTTATATTATTAGTGGAGATGGGGGTTCACCATATTGGCCAGGCAGTGCCGGGCACCGTGGCTCACTCCTGTAATCCCAGCACTTTGGGAGGCCGAGGCAGAAAGATCACCAGGTCAGGAGTTTGAGACCAACCTGACCAACACGGTGAAACCCCGTCTGTACTAAAAATACAAAAATGAGCCGGTTGTGGTTGTATGCACCTGTAACCCCAGCTACTCAGGAGGCTGAGGCAGGAAAATGGCTTGAACCTGGGAGGTGGAGGTTGTAGTGAGCAGAGATGGAGTCATTGCACTTCAGCCTGGGCAACAGAGCAAGACTCTGTCTCAGGAAAAAAAAAAAAAAAGAAAAAAAGAAAAAAGAAAGAAAAAAAGAAAAGAACTATCGGCCAGGCTGCTGTTGAATTCTTGACCTCCTGATCTGCCCACCTTGGCCTCCCAAGTGCTGGGATTACCAGCATGAATCACCAAGCCTGGCCCTAGTTTATTTTCTTAAGTGTTTTTCTATGCCCAGAGCATAGTAACTCTCTAAGAGCAGACCAGTCAGTTGGGAAGGAGGAAGGGGCTGGGGTGCTCTTGGCTGTGTGACAGAGGAAGACTCAATGGTGGAGATGGGAAGGGAACTCCCCAGCAATTCAGAGTGGTCCATGTCCAGAAGAAAAGTGGTGACGGGCCCCTCTCCACCTCCCCAAAGCTTGATGCAGTACTGTGAGTGTGGAGGGGGAGGCTTGCTCTGGGCCTGGGCTGGGAGTGCTGGTCATGTTCCTAGTCTGGCTTAGAGCCCATGGGCTGTGCAACATCCCCGCATGGATTCCAGGACTTCAGCACCGCGGACAGGGACGTTTCCAGAAGTGGCTCACAGCACAGGAGGCAGAAGCTAGGAGATCCCAGAGGCCTCTGGACCTGAGGAGGTGGAGGGTGGGGCAATGAGGTGGGGACTCAAGGCTGGGCACACAGTGAGCTCTAGCTCACACATTAGGAAGTGCAGGGGAAGCGCAGGAACAGGGCGGCAAAGTGCCCTGCTGAAGAGTCTCCCCAGGTGCAGGCTGCGGGCTGTGAGCCTGGCAGCCCCTTCCTTCTTCTCTCCTTCCCGGCTGACTGGGCTGCTCTCAGAGGGTTACCAGGACAGAGGAAGCGTGGGTGGGGCCTGCACCCTCACCCCAGCCACCTACCCTCTGGCAGGAGGGGGTGGGAATGAGAGACATGTTCTGGCACCTGCGCCTGCATGGGGAACAGCCTATTTGGCTAGTTTGTTCTGCTGGGTTTTGCTTTGATGTAGAGTGTTTGTTTAACTGGGTTCAATCAGGGAGGTTTCAACGGAGGGCGGTAATGCTAGGACTCCCTGAGAGGAACCCTGGATGCCCCTATCTCCTCCCCAGCTCCCGACCCAGTGCCTGCAGGCCTGGCACCTTCCAGGGCAGGGGTTGGTTTACCACTTCTGTGGAGCAGGCCCACCTCAGCTTCCCAAACAAAACAAAACAACACAAAAACCCAGTTGGGGGATGTGGATAACACGGGGTCAAGTTCCCCAAACTATCAGGCTGACGTTCCCAGGCTGTGCAGGTTAACAGGTCCCTGGCACCGAGTGCTGGAGGGAGTTTGGCTGACTCACAGTCCGGGCTCAGCTTCTAGCATATCTCTTCAGATCTAGGCCCTGACCACCAGGTTGGACCTGGGTGCCAGGCCTGGTGCAGCGGCTCCCCCACCCCCCACAGAACCAGGATTGCCAACCCAGAGCCAACCCTATTCAGGATGTGGGCACCTCCAGGGTCCCACTGTTTCCTCAGCCCCAGTTCTTTGTCTGAAAAGCCTGGGGTGAGCCGTAAGATTACCTTCCCCATCCTGGGGAGGGGGAAGAGGGAACTGGGGAAGGAGTGCCTTGGCCTGGGCACCTGCAGAGACTGAGACGAGGCAGCTGGGGCTTGGTGGAGAGGTGGGGTGGCAACGAGCCTGCCGGCACCCACCCTGTGTTATGATTTCAAAAACTATTTCAAAAATCTCTTGAGTTGGGTGTTGTTTTTCTGTTTGGTGGGTAAAGGCCAGAGAGCTCTGGGACACACCCAGGTCCCACAGGTTGTCAGTAAGAAGGCTGCAAACCTAAACCTGCTCTGTCTGCCAAATTGTGGCCATGGGGCCTTCCTTTCCATCTCACCCCTATGGCTGTAGGGTCACTACGAGGCCTAACCAGACTAGCACAGGTTTACAGCCGAGGAAGTGTCCTTGCGGGAAGGGAAGGGAAAAGAACTGAGGTCTACGGAGCCCTCTGCTCGGGGCAAACTCTGGTTGGCCCTAATTAGGCTGCACATTTGGCTCTGGGACCTCAGTTTCTGCATATCTCTGCAAAAGGGGCCAGGATTAGCGTCTGCAGGTCCCAGCAGGAAGTGGGGATGGAGACAGAATGCACGAATGAATGAATCAATGAATATGTGAATGGGGAAGTGCTTTGCGAACAGTATGGTGGGAAGCCGGATTCAAGAGTTGAAATCGATGACCCTCCCACACCTGGCCCCTCCCACATACATCACAACGTTCCCTCTGCCCCACTGCACTCCTGCCGTGGGAGGACAGACTTCCACGTGGTGGTGTTGGGGGTGGGTGGCATTTGAGAGTTTTAGGAGGCTCCTGTAGGTCCCCGAGCTTCTCTGCCCAGCAGCAGTGACCTCACTTTATCAGCTCCCCAAAGACCACACAGGCATGGCCAGATGTTTGGGACGTCTGTTTATTGACAGGCACAGACCAAGCCTGCACCGCACGGGACTCAGCGGTACTTTTCGGTCAACACCACGGCCACACCAGTCAGGAACTTGTCCCACGCCGCCTGCATTTCTACGGTGAACTCGTCCTGCAGGTGGGAGGCCAGTACGACCTGGAAACACTGGATTAGCAGCTGCGGGAAAAGGGGCCAGTGAGACGGGGTCTGTCCCGCCAGGACCCCCAGAGGCCCCACACCCCCGGCTTCACTCTGCACCATTGCCCCGGCCCGAGAGGGCTCACCGGAAAGTTGGCTGGGTCCACGCGCAGCACGAGCGCATGCAGGTCCGCCAGCGGGCTCAGCACGGCGCGCAGGTTGTCCATGTGCTGCACCGCCGCGCCCACCGCTGCCAGCATGCGCTGCCCATGGCTCAGCAGCTGCGCCGCGTCCTGGCAGGCACTCAGGTGCGGGAAGTAGCCCTTGGTGCTAGGGTATACTGTGAAGAGCCTGCAAGAGCAGGTCGGTGACCGGGGAGGACTGCTGCGTGGGGTGTCAAGAGCGCCGGCACTGCCCAGAGCCTCAGGGATCCTCACCCGAGGGACCTCGGATGGGCTTGGGGGCCCACGTGCCCAACACCCGCATCTCCACCTTCCTGAGCTCCCGGAGACCCCGCCTCTACCCACCTGAGGAGCAGCTCCGCCCCAAATTGCGCCTCGTGGCCCGCGATCAGGTCCCAGACCTGCGTGATTTGAGCGCGCTCCTGGGCGCTGAGCATGGCGCTGCCTGACTCGCTCTGGGGCTGCGCCCGCCGCCCTGACGTCCTTATAGGGCCTCCAGGCACCCCGCCCGTCCTTATCGGCCCGAGCGCGGCGGGAACTGGCGGACCCTGGGCCTGTGCCGAGGAACGTAGCCAGACTGGGTTCCCGCCGACGTCGAGGCCTCGACCTCCTGGATCCCAGGGTTTCTGGCACTGACCCACTCTGCTGTGCGTGCGCACCTTTACTGCAGACTTTAGGGGTGTCTGTAATTACTCCTCTCGGGCAAAGTTACTGCTATGCCAGGAGGGCACCGAGAGAGAACACGGGGCAGGAAACCCCCAGTTCTCTTAGGAGTTGGGGAGGGAGGGGCCAGCCTCAGGGACCCACGCAGCTGCCAGAGTCCCGGGATTAGGGCATAAGGCTTTATGGAAAAGTTCCCACGCACTCCCAAGACGCTAAGTGAAGTGCTAATCTTTGGGCGATTTGGGAAGCCGGGAGACGCACAAAGCCGGTCTGACCCAAGAACCCCAGGGGACGCCGTGGGCCGGCCCGGGACTGCGCGGATCCTCCCGGGCTGCAGCTCCGGTGCTCCGGGGCAAGAACCTCCCAAAAGCACCCCCCAGATGACCTCCAGGCCGCGAAGACGGCGGGGACGACTGAGTTTCTGCGAAACCCCCGTACCCGTCACTCAGCTTCTCCCCTCCTTCCCTCCAAAACTGAGAACACACAGCCCAGATCGGTCCTTACTCATCCTTTTATTGGAGTCAGGGGAGGAACTGCCGGAGAGTGAAGGGCAGGGGAGGGGCCGCAGCCGGTCCTGGCGGTGGCTGAGGCGGCGCTCAGCGGTACTTCTCGGTTAGGACAGAGGATACGACCGACAGGAACTTGTCCCAGGCGGCGTGGGCCTCGGCCGTGAAGTCGGCGGGGAAGCGCGCGGCCAGGGTGACCAGCAGGCAGTGGGACAGGAGCTGGGGGAGGGGCCGCTCAGTGAGGGGCGGGGCCTAGCGAGGGCCCCTCCCCGCCGCCCCACCCCACCGGGAACCCTGCCCCGCAGCCCCGCCCCACCCCGCCGGGACTCCCGCCCCGTACCCTCTTCCCCCGCCGCGACCCCCGCCCTGCACCCCGCCTCCATCCCACCCCCCCGCCGGCACCCCCGCCCCCCGCCGGCACCCCCGCCCCCCGCCGTGACCCCCTCCTTCCGCAGGGACCCCCGCCCCGCACCCCCGCACCCCGCCGGGACCCCGCCCCACCCCGCCCCGCGCACCTTGAAGTTGACCGGGTCCACGCGCAGGATGTAGGCGTGCAGCTCGCTCAGCTTGGACAGGGCAGCGCCGATGTCGATGCTCTTCACCGCGTCGCCCACGGCGGCCACCACCTTGGAGCCGTGCGCGCGCAGCTGCGCCGACCCCGGGTGCAGGTCGAAATGCGGGAAGTAGGTCTTGGTCTGCGGGTAGCTGAGGAAGAGCCTGGCGCGCGGGGCGGGCGCCGTGAGCTCCCGGCAGCGCCGCCTCCCGCCACGGCCCGCGCGCCCTGCGGCCCTCTCCGAGCTCCAGGACGCGGCCGCGACCCCGCAGCAGGCCCCAGCCCCTCCTCGCGGTGCCCGCGTGCCCAGGCAGCTGCCCCTCCCAGGCTGCCCTGAGCTGGAGGCCCCAGGCCGCTGCGGCTTCCCACGGATTCTGTGCGGCCTGGTCCCCAAATCCACTGCCCTCCGCCTGGTGGGGCCACGAGTGCTCCACCCTCTCCTCTGGCCACAGGGCCTCCTTCCCAGCCCTGGACCGGGTCGCCCGCCACCCCTTCTGCAGGCTCCTGACCTCCCAGCAGTGTTTCAGGGAAGGAAAAGCCCCCTGGCCCCTCCCAGGGGTTCAGATGCTGGGACTTTAGAGGCTGTAGCGCCCCTGGCTGCCCAGTAAGGGTCTTCAGGCCTCGAGCAAAACATTTCAGCCTCTGCTTGCCAGAACCCGGGCCTGCGTGAGCCCCGGCCATCGAATGCCTGTGCAATTCCTAACCGTACCCTCTCACCCTGCCCTCCTCACTGAGAGGGAAGGCTATCTGTCCCGCTGTCCCCTCCCCAGTGTCTCTTCCTCACTGGCCCCACTATTTCCTCCCCTCAACCCCCCCCCCACGGTCCCCTCCTCGCTGTCCCACTCCCAGGCCTGGCCTCCCTCCCGGTCCCTCTGGGAGTCCCGTGTGACACTCACCTCTCCAGCGTCTCGGTGCCGATGGTGTCGGCCTGCGTGGAGATCTTGGCCCACATGGACACAATGATGGTCCTCTCAGTCTTGGTCAGAGACATGGCGGCAGGGTGGGCGGCTGCTCTGCAGTTGGGCCTGCTCAGGACTGGCCTTGGTGGTGCTCAGCCCCCGGGTCCCCTTATATACAGGGAGCTGGGCCCAGCCAGGCTGTGGCCATTGGTCAGGTGAGGGGAGGGGGCTGCAGGGGTGGGATTTCTTATCAGATGGAGTGAAAAAGGGCCCCTCAGGGTGTGGTGGGACGGGACGGGGCGGGGGGCTCTGGGAAAGCCATCACATCTGTCTCCCCTTCTGCCCACCCCTGAGCCACAGCTGGAGCCCCAGGTTCAGGGAAATTGGGGCCCCGGTCTAGGCAGGAGAGTCCACGTGGTCATAGTCCTGGCCTCAGGAGTGACTGTCCCTGTCCCTGTCCCTGTGATCACAGGGTGACCTAGAGTCATGGGCCCTTGCAGGGGCACACTCCATTCCTCCTTCACTGAAACTTCTTTGGCTCACCTTATGAGCTCCAGTTTGCAAATGAGGAAACTGAGAGCCTTAGAGAGAAAGTGGGACCCAGTGTCACAGGGTGGGTAGGGACAGACCTCTCCCCCTCTGCTGTGCAGCCCCCTCACCTGGATGAGGCTCACTTGCGGGGGACACTCTGAGCCAGGCACCCAGGCAGGAAAGTGGCTTGGGAGGCCGGACTCTTCACAGAAGGTGAGGCCATGCGGACCTACAGTTCTGCTGACTGTGTTCCCATCGCAGTCTGGAGGAGACCCTCCTGCAGCTCTATTGATTTAGCTCTTTTTATCCTTTCACTTCATTAACCTCCTGGTCCTCCATTAGACAGCCATTTCCATGTGCTGAATATACTCCTTTTAGTGAGTAAGTGTACTTGCAAAGGGTGTGATTTTATGCATGTATTTTAAATTTATAAAATTTATAATTCTGGGGCCGGGCGCGGTGGTTCAAGCCTGTAATCCCAGCACTTTGGGAGACCAAGGCGGGTGGATGACGAGGTCAAGAAATCGAGACCAATCTGGTCAACATGGTGAAACCCCGTCTCTACTAAAAATACAAAAAATTAGCTGGGCACGGTGGCGCACACCTGTAATCCCAGCTACTCAGGAGGCTGAGGCAGGAGAATTGCCTCAACCCAGGAGGCAGAGGTTGAGATGAGCCGAGATTGTGCCATTGCACTCCAGCCTGGGTAACCAGAGCGAAACTCCGTCTCAAAAAAAAAAAATGTATAATTCTATAAATTATATAATTTATCACGCCTGTAATCCCAGCACTTTGAAACACCGAGGCGGGCAGATCACCTGAGGTTAGGAGTTCAAGACCAGCCTGACCAATATGGTGAAACCCCGTCTCTGCTACAAATACAAAAATTAGCCTAGTGTGGTGGCTTGCGCCTGTAGTGCCAGCTACTCAGGAAGTTGAGACAAGAGAATCGCTTGAACCGAGAAGGCGAAGGTTGCAGTGAGCTGAGATCGAGCCATTGCACTACAGCCTGGATGACAGAGTGAGACTCCACTCAAAAAAAAAAAAAAAAGAAAAGAAAAGAAAAATTAAACTTATTGTCAATTGTACTAGCAAATATGATAAAAGATATAAATACACCTTAATAAAAATGTCCTTCGTAACGCTCCACTTTAAGAGAGAACCCTTAATCATTTCCCAGGATTCCTGAATATATTGTATGTGTGTGTGTAACAGCACAGCTATGCCTGAACCCACCTATGGCAACGTGAAGTGTTCTCGCATCCAGAAGCCGAGGCTACCAGTGTTCTGACCTCCAGTGCCGGAGAACGCGTACCTCCATCTCCTCAAAGACTTCCTAAAAGCTGCCTTTTCTGTTCAGAAAAATGATACATGCAGGCCGGGCACGGTGGCTCAAGCCTGTAATCCCAGCACTTTGGGAGGCCGAGGCGGGTGGATCACGAGGTCGAGAGATCGAGACCATCCTGGTCAACATGGTGAAACCCCGTCTCTACTAAAAATACAAAAAA